ACGGGACTGGCTTCCGCTCCCGCACCCGTGCCACCGCGCTCAGCTGTAGGCTGGGAGCATAATCCTGGCAGAATACAAGCAGTGCAGCCAAGGCCAAGGTGGGATGGGCACAGCCCAGCGGGGCTCAGGCAGCCATCAGCAGGGAGGGCTGGGGGAGCAGGGCACACACAGCAAAGGGCAAGAGGAGGGAGGCAGCATTGCTCATCCCTGCAGGCTTCTTCCCCTGGCCTCAGGGATGCCAGGCAGAGACTGGCTCTCAGTCCCAAGCCCCGCCCCCACCCTCCCCACCAAAATAGCACACGTATTTTGGGGTCCTAGGAGGACCACAGCAGGGCTGGGGAGAGACAGCAAGGAAAGGGGGCTGGACAGCCCACTCCCATGCATATAGGACATTTCTGGAAATGGACAGGGAGGGACCCCTACAAGATGCCCTGTGCCTGGCACACAGCTTGCCAAGCAGCCTAGGGCAGGGAGGGAGCAAGATGCAGGGTGGGAGGACACGTCCCCTACAGAGGCACCAAGGGCAAATGCCCTCCTTGTGCAGCCAGGGGCAACACCCAGCCCCAGCAGTGGGTATGTAGGGGGGGACACAGGGTGAAGCTAGGCTGTGGAGAGCAGCAGGGTCTGGATCACGTCAGCAGGGGCTCTGGCACAGTGGGGCAGTGGGACCCAGGGCCATGGTGCTGCATATCTGGAGGGGCAGCAGGGCAGCCTGCCTTCTGCTGCAGGGCCAGCCTCTGCAGACAGGCCCAAGCATGCAACTCCACTTTCCTGTTCTCCGTCTGTGCTGCCACAGGGAAGAACAGGCTGGCTTGTCCCCTTCTTAGGTAGCACCACCAAGGGGCATCTGCAGTGGCCCCTTCCCCACACAGCTCATGCAGGGCACTGGAGCCAGCTGGCTCCTCAGGTCTGGGGCAGATGTGCTCAGGGAGTTTTACCTCTGACCTCCAGCTTGGCCTCACACTGTTTGGTGCCATACTCGTTGACTGCCTTGCAGGTGTAGAAGCCGGTGTCAGTGTGCTCTGCCGCCAGGATGTGCAGTGTGAAGAGCCCTCGCACTCCCTCTGCCTCCTCTACATGGTGCCGACGGCTGTACTTCACTGGCTGCCGGTTCCTCAGCCTGTTCAGGACATGGGCAGAGCAGCATGGTCATTGTCACAACTGGTCCTGCACACCCAGCCTGGCTGCCCACAAAAAAACCCTGTTCTCCACCCCCAATTCAGGATGAGAGCTCCAAGCTGAGCGTATCCAAATGGAGAGGTCACCATGCCTGTCCCCTCCTTCCCTGCCCAGCTGTGACCCAGAGAACACCAGGACTCACCAGTAAATGATGGGTTTGGGCTCCCCATGGACACGGACACTCATGCTGACATCCTGCCCCTCCAGCACCGACTGGTCTGACAGGGATATCTGGGGAAACAGAGGTCAGAGAGAAGAAAGCACCCACAGCTGTGTGTCCCCCATCACAACAGAAGTACCAGGAGAGTTGGTGGAGTGGAGCCTGCCCAGGTGCAGGGAACACCCCAGATCAAATCAAGGGGTGGGAAGACCTGACCCACCACCTCCTGGCACCAAGGACTGCAGTGCTGCAGTCACAGGGCACTGCTCTCTGCAGGGTCCTGGAGGAGTTGTTGTCTCACCTCA